GAACTGTGGTCCCAAGGCAATTGGGGGACCCACCCCGCTAAGAAGGAGCACCCGGCACACATTGGAGCCAGGGCTGTTAGTGGAAATTTCCCCAAGACCTTCACAAACAGGCGCGGTCAGGGGCTGACCCGGCTCGGCACTCAAAAATCCCGCCAACTGGGTCCAAAGTCAAAGGTCCCTAGACCAGCCCTGCCCCATAGAACTTTCTCCAAGGATGGAAATCTTCATTGTGCAACACAGTAGCCACTGTCAGCCACGGGGCTCGTGTGGCTGTTGGGCACTTGAAATGTGTCCACTGCCACTGAGAGCTGACTTTTAACTTTTATTTAATTGTAATTAATTTAAATGTAATTAGCCATCTGTGGCTAATGGCTACCATAATGGACCATGTGTGAGCTACACACGGGCAGGGGCTCGGTCTGGGTTGTTCTCTACAGGGGTTGGCTCACAGTAGAGGCTCAATGAAGATTTGTTGAATGAATGAATGAGTGAATGAATGAATGAAGATCAGCAGGCCCCCAGGATGTTTCTACAGTGCAGTGTAGACGGGAGGGGGCTGCCTGACTCTGCTGGGGAGACTTGGACTTGGGGAAAATACTCGATGGTTCTGGACTCCCAGTAAAAAACAGTGATGGCATCAGCCGTGGACGGAGCACTCATCAAACGCCAGCCCCATGGCGAGTGCTCTGCCGGCGTGTTCTCTCTGCATCCCCGTAGCCGCCCTGTGAGATGGATGCTGTTACCAACCCCAATGACAGGGCAGGAAACTGAGGCCCAGAGAGGCAAAGACAGTCCTCAGGGCACACAGCAAGAGTGGCAGAGCATGAACTCTGAGCTAGGCTGATGGGGTGGCTGGAGGTCCTTCTGGTCCTCGTGTGGTCTCTGACCTGGCCCCTGGTTCTCTTTGCCTTCCAGGGCTACGTTGTGATATCCGGTGGACTCCTGTACCAGCGCTGAGGCCAGACCACTGGGGGGGCTAAGAGTGGGCCAGCTCACTGATGCTGGGAACTTCCTGCCTCAAGTCACTTGGGAAACTGAGGCAAAGCCACACTTAGTCATCACCAGCAGCCCGGATGCCCAGCCAGGCTGTTTAATCTTAACCGAGTAACTGGGTTCCCTTTTCTCACCGCCCCCCACTTATCCCCTTATTCCCTCCCTCCCCTCCTTGTAGGGAGCAGATCACTCCTCCAGGTTGTACAGACCTGTTCCCTTTTGCATTAAACATCTTCACTTGAGCTGCAACTTCCAGCCAGGCCTGGCGAACTCTTTGCATACTTGAGGCCAGTGGCCTACGTGCAGTCCCTGTGTCCTGTCTGTCCCTGGAGCCACCAAAGCCTCCTGGGAGAAGAAGAAGATATGACCACATCTCTGTAGATCACATCTGTTGACTCCATCACCTCTTCAAAATATGAGGGGAGCTCATATTTTGAAGGAGGACCCTGGAGGGCAATAGGGACAGGCAGGCGGGGTGTGGAGTTCTGTTTCTCAGACGTGGGGACTGAGGCCCAGTGAGGAGAGGGATGCGCCCAGAGCCTCAGAGCTGGATGATGGCGGATCCCGAGGACTGTGACATTACTAGCATCCAGGCAGAAGGTGTCCAGCTCCCTCTTCCACGCGCCAGCTCCCTGACCTCAGTTTGTCCTCGGGTCACGAGCCTCAGGTGACAGGGCGTTCACTACCGTCCCGAGCGGCTTCTCCACCTTTGGTTCACTCAAGTCAGGAGCAAGTTCCCTGTTTGAAGGAGGCAGAATCTGCCTCCCGGGCCCGCGGCCTCACTGAGCATGTCTAATTCCTTTTTCCTCTGAAAGCTCCTCAAACCCAGGGGGTCACCAGCAAGATGGCCCGGGCAGACCGCGTGATGCAAACACTGCAAGCCAAAGCCATGCGGTTTCTCTCCCGATAAACTAATCTCTTAGCAGACGTGGTGTTCCTTCCTGCCAGATACACAGGCTCATGTTCTGTTTACATTTTCTCGGGGAGTAAAAAAGTGTCCGACTTTCCACCATCAGTAAGCAGAGCCTTTGGAACAGTGTGACATTATCCTCTCCTCCATAAGGGTTATGGGCTCATCCCTGAAGTCTCGGTGTGACACAGGGAACTGGAGTAAGCCCAGAGCCTTGGTGGTGGGGAGGAGGTGAGGGTGGTGCTGAGAGAGAGAAAAGGGAAGACTATAAAATCCAACCTCAGGATTTTGCTCAGGATAGCATGACTTTTGATTAATTCATCAATCCTACTTTTTTTTTTGATGAGGAAGATTGGCTCTGAGCTAACCTCTGCCAATCTTCCTCTATTTTGTATGTGGGATGCTGTCACAGCATGGCTTGATGAGTGGTGTGTAGGTCCGCACCTGGGATCTGAACCTGTGAACCTTGGGCTGCTGAAGTGGAGTGCATGAACTTAACCACTGCGCCACAGGGCTGGCCCCTCATTAATCCTACTTTTATTGGGACTTAATATAGGCTCAACCCGAGGCTAGGTGGTTTGGAATATGGGAGACAGAAATTTTGAGACATAGACTCAGCCCATAAAGGAAGTTAATAACCTAGAAAAAGACCATGAGCTCAATGTATAGTGTCCATCCATTAAGCAGTCAGTCCAGCAATCGAACCACCCTTCCTTCCTTCCTCCCACCCACCCATCCATCCTTCCTTTTATCCATCCATCTGTTCATGTACCCACCTGTCAATCCATACACCACCCATCCATTTGTCCATCCACCCACCCACCCACCCATCCATCCATCCATCCATCCGTCCACCCGTCCACCCGTCCACCCGTCCACCCGTCCGTCCGTCCGTCCATCCGTCCACCCGTCCATCCGTCCATCCATCCATCCATCCATCCATCCATCCATCCACACATCCATCCATCCATCCACACATCCACCCATTTATCCAATCACTTTTTCTAACTTTCTAGGTCTTTGTTTGTACCCATGATGTGCCTGGTTCTATGACATATGTTCTTTTAAGAGGAGGGGGACAAAACGCCTGAGTGAACCTCCCTGCCCAGAAGGAAGCCCTGTTCTGCCCAAATCCCAGTCCCTGAGGGACACCATTCAGCCATTCGGTTAGGAGCCTGCTGGCTGCTGAGAGGCACAGACGAGTGTAGCAGTCTGGGTCCAATCAGAGGACAGGACCCACACAGTAGCTTAAACGGGGAAAGTTTAATATGAATAATTATTAACTTTGGTGAAAGAATAACTACAAGCCAGAAGGAAACTATGGTATTCTAGGGCCGAAGGAGAAGACCAAGGAAGGCAAAACTTGAAAGAGCTCGGACTTCACTTGAGAGGGTGCTGTTCAGCCTGCTGGACAGCAGGGAAGTTTGTTGGTCTGGCCAGGTCGGAGCTGGCCTTGAGTTGCTGGGCAAACCAGAGGCAGCCGAGGCCTTCAAGCAGCATGGGAGGGGCTGTTGCTGGGGAGAGGTGGGGGCTGTGGCGTGCAGATGCAGCAGCTGCTCGGCGTGTGGCCATGCAGGGGACTTGCAGAGGGAGTCTGGCCACTGGCATGGCCAAGAGACCTTCTGAGTGCACGGCTAGAGGGGCGGGCGTGTGGTAAGGGCTCTGGTTTCTGTTAGGAGAGGGCTGCGGGAAAGGCTGAGGCCAGGCTGAGGCCAGGCCGAGGCTGCCAGGTTGCAGAGGGACCACGTTCCATGCCCCGAGGAAGACTGTTTCTTTAAAATAATTTTATTTTTAGGGAGCTTGCCACCTATGTGGCCATTGGAACTTGGTTGTGGCCACTTTACTTTGAACTTAGGGAACATGGGATGGCATGACTGTCCTTTTCCCTCCCAGAATTACTACTATTATTCTGCCCCCTCATCAAAAGAGGATAAAACAGTGACCCAGGGAGGTTGAGGGAGCCACCCAAGGCCACACAGCTTGTGAGGGCCGGGCTGGGACTGGGGCCCAGAACCCTGAACCCACACAAGGGAGTTTCTCCAGCCTTCCCCCACCACATGACCCTCCTGCTCCCCTGCCCCCAAATACCCAGGATGGCCCTGGGGGGAGGGAGGGAGGGCCAGTGACCGGAAGCACATGGAGTAGGGGGTGGGGGGAGGATTTGCCTGCGGAAGGGAGGTGAGGCCTGCCTGCCCCGCAGTCTGTCGGGGGCGGGTCCATAGGGATAAAATGATGCTATCTGTAGACTGGCTCCTCCACACCAGGACACAGACTGGCTGGGCTGACCTGGGTCCTGCTCTCGCCCTGTCCCGACCTGGCTTCAGCCCTGCTGATCTCAGGCAGGTGCTTGCCCCACTCTGGCCTCAGTGGCCGCATGTGCACAATGGGCACAGTAGCTCCCTGGATCTTCCAGACCCCTGGGATCCCTGTGGGGTGGATGAGGAAAACCCCAGTCCTCCAGCAGCGCCCCTGGGACTGTTTGTCAAGCACAAAGGCCCTGGAGGTGACCCAGCCCAGCCTCCCCATGGGCCTCCTGGAGAGCAGGGCAGAGGCTGGGTACCTGAGTCCTGGCTTCCAGCCCCAGTTCTGTGGCTGGCTCGCCGTGTGACCCTGGGGTCACCCTGCCTTCATTGCCCTCAGAGTTTGGACCTTGAGAGAAAGCCACCCTGCAAGTGGCACTTACCGCCTCGCAACATCTCCTCCAGGCAGGTCTGTCCCTCTGAGGACCCCCCTGGGCCATTAGCTCCTCCTGCCCCATGTGAGTCTCAGAGGGGCCCAAGTCCAGATGGTCCAGGCAGCGTCTCCCAGGCCTTTGCACCTGCCGGCCGCCCTTCTGGAACACGTTTCCCTGCCTTGCAGAGCTGGCTCTGCTCACCTCTCCGGCGTCTGCTCCAACATCCCCTGCTCCAGGGGTCTTCAGCTAACCTCATTCTTCCCTCCCCATCCCGTCCCTCTGGCTCGGTGGCTGCCACCAGTCTTATTGCCAGGAATGACCTGGCTTTGTGGTTGCTGGCTTGCAGAGTGCCCATCTGTCCCTGTGGGCTCCAGGAGCCCTCTCAGGACAGGAAGCGCCTTGTTCGCTGCAGCATCCCCAGCGTCCTGCACAGGCCTGGCACACAGTAGGTGCTCAATAGATGTTTGTGGGAGGAATGGATGAGTGCCAACTATGTGCCCAGCCTTGTGGGAGGCACTGGGTCAAGAGGAGAGGGCCATGAGAGCCCTGATGCCTGCTCTGGCCACCACGTCCCCTCCCCAGCGCCCGCCCGTGTGCAACCGCTCTTCTCCTCCGTCCTCCGTGCTATTTATGTTGGAACAGACTGAAGCATCACGTGAGCATCGGGGCTCCTGTTCTTCGGGCCTCTAGATAATTATCGGGCCTTATTAAACCCTTAATTATCCAAGCGGCTAATCAGGCTCCTGAATATAAGGGCTTCCTCGTCCCAGGGTCGGGAGGCTGGGGTCGGACATCTGTGGGACGTCCCCGCGCGCGGCAAGGTAAGGACAGGCCCCACCTGTGGAGCTCTCCCCGGAGTGTCTTATCCAGCCCTGGCATTTAACAGACGAGAATATTGAGGCCCAGAGAGGGGAAGGGACTTGCCTGAGGTCACACAGCTACCGAGTGGCAGGGCCAGGGCTTGGATCTATGTCCTGACCGCCACCTCGTGCTCCCTGCTTGACAGGAAGCCACAGGACATGGCAATCTTCAGCTGCTCTAGGACTCAGGCCAGATCAGGGAGACAGCAGATCTGAGGGGCCTCCCGGGGCTCCACCTGAGGCTGAGGGAAGACCAGGGAGGTGTGTTTTGCAGGAGCCCAGAGCTGAGCTGGGGCAGCAGGAGTTGGCGGAGGTGGGGCATCTAGGGGCATTTGCCAGGCAGAGAGAGGGAGGAAGGCGGAAGGAATTTCTAGGGGTGGGAAAACATGTGAGTGAAGGATGGGGTGGGGGCAGCAGGAAACCCTCGACCTGGGTGGGATGGATTAGGTCCACTGTCAGGCTCAAACCGTGATCTCTGAGGCCGGGGGCGTTGGGGGCTCCCTGGTAGAGGAGGCAAGGGCTGAAATTAGGACTTGAGGGATAAGCAGGTTCTGGGCCAGTGGAGGGAGGCACAGGTCAGGCGAAAGCACAAGCACGGTCAGAACAAAACCCTGGCGAGAACTGTTTGTCCCAGAAACACCTGCACAACCATGTCACCCCGAGCCGTTCACTATTCTAAGAGGGCAGGAAATCCTGCCCATGTGGCCTTAACACCTGGTGTCAGTTCCAGCCCAGGAATGGGGAGACTGGGTGGTCTCGGAGCTCAGGCTCCCCAACTGGGAGATGGGCTGGGGCCGGAGGAGACCTTCGCCAAGCACCTTCCGGCTCTGTGGCCCTGCCACTGACCTCCGTGCTCCCCCCGGGGATGGTTTTCAGAGAGATTTGGCACCCGGCGTGCCTGCGTCCGGCATATGCCCATGGCACACACGTGTGTGTTCATAGGGGTCGAGGAAACACCAAGATGGATGACTTTCAAGACGAGACAGATATGTAAAAATGGAATGGGATGAGACAGAAGTGGATCACGCTTTCATTTAGCAAATATTGACCGTAGGCTTGAGTGGTCCCCCCTGGCTTTTTATATGCCGGCTCCCTCCCACCCTTTAGGTCTCAGCCTACATATCTCCTTTCCTGACGTCCCTCCCCCTTCTCGCACACACGCTATAGCCCCTTCGATTGCGTTAAGATTCAGGAGGAGCAGGACTGTCTCTGCCGTGTGTAGCCCGGTCTGCCTGGCACGGGGCAGGCACTCAGTAAATGCAAGCTGAATGAATGAATGAATGAATGAGTGAATGCACACAGGCATGGGCTCAGACTGGGGAGGCAGGCCCCCAGTAGGCGTGCATCTCTGTGGATCAGTGGAGCCCTCTGTGCTCGAGGCTGCTGGCAGCAGGAGTCCAGCTGGAGCTCCCCACTCTGGGGGGTCTGCCGGCCCCTCGGGTCCCTCCTTGATTCTTGCAGCCACAGCTGAAACCGGACGCAAACGCTCGGCCTCTGGTTGGAGAATTTCAGGTCTTGGTAAGTAGGAGGGAGGGATTTCTGGGGGCCCAGGGCTGGGGTGGGGCTTTCCTGGGAACTTGAAGGGTCTGGGGTGGAAGGTCTTCATTCGGTTCTCTACTCAGTGGCTGGGAGAACCTGGGTGGGCGCCTCAGTTTCCCTATTGGTGAGGCGATGTCTAAACGGCCTTAAGAGGCTGTGGGTTGAGATTTCTGGAAGTGAGACTGCACTGGAGGAGGTGGGGGATGCCGTTGCCTGGAGCATCAGGGTAGGGGGAGCAGAGGCCCCCCCCATTCCCACACTGCCCTGGGCGTTTCTGGGCTCAGGACCTGGTTGGAATCCCCTCCGCGGTCCCAGCATTGCCCAGCACTGAGCGGCACTTGAACTCATGAAAAACTGCAGCTGAACTTCTCCCCAAATCCGGAACTCAGGCCATCCAGAAGGTGTCACACCCCCAGACGAGGAAACCGAGGCTTAGCAGGGGAAGGGACCTGCCTTAGAGAGGTCAGTCAGAGTCACTTTGAGAGATAGTGGCTCCAGAGTCCTGTGTTGAATCTGGACCCTCTTGGAGACCCTCTTGAGAAGGCAGTAACGAGGTTTGCTGAACTGGCTGGAGTCCAAAGGGCCCTGGACCCCTGAGATCACGCAGGGAGCCCAGTCTGCTGGGAGCGTGGGAGGACCCCAGGGGAAGCAGGGCCTGGTGGCCTGCACCCAACTCAGGCCCCGCGGCACAGGTGGAGCCATGCTGTGGATCCTGTGTCTGGGCTTCTGCGGCCTGCTGCCCCGCACACAAGCTGACCCCGGGGCACTGCTGCGGCTGGGCATGGATGTCATGAACCACGGTGAGCTGGTGGGCTGGGTGGGGGGGCCAGGGGTGGGTGGTGGGCAGTGACTGCTCATGTTTGCATGGCCTTGAGCATCCTATGATTCTTGAAATAAACTATAAGCAATACGTTATTATCATTCTTGAGAAAATGGGGTGACTTGCTCAAGGTCCTCCCACAGGTTGGCGGCAGAGCTGGAAATCCTGTTTCCTTGGAGCCTTTTGTTGACCCTGATGGCAGGGGTTGGTGGACACAAGTGGGCTGTGGGGGGGTGACAGACATGAGCCAAATCCTGGCTCGGCCAACAATTTGCTGTGTGATCTCAGGCGAGTCACTTACCTTCTCTGTGTTGCTGTTTACTCACCTGTAAACGCTAAATGTAAAGAAAGGTAAAATAGGGTGACCAGCCCTTCCGTGACAAGATCCGATGTAACGTGAGATTCAGGTCCCCCGAGGGGGCTGCAGGAACGTTTATTTTCCACTTCTGAGCTCCACAACTTTAAGAGAAATGAAGTCACATCCAGAGCAAGGGGCTAATGATAGCTCTGTCAGCTCGGTGTTTGTCTCCTCTCTGGGAATTAGCCTGTGACTGTGATGGAGGTGTGTCTGGCACCTGTCACTGGGGTTGGGCCTCCAGGCCCGGGGAATCAGAACGTCTTGGCTTCAGGCACAGAATCTGCATTTTAACAAGCCCCCAGATGAGTTCTCTCGTCACCCGGGTTTGACAGTGGCTGGGTCACAGGATAAAGTCTACGCTTTAGCTTGGGGTCAAGGCCTCCATGATACGCCCCCTAATGCTCCAGTTTCTCGGTTGTGCCCGTCCCCGCCCTCTGGTCATGCTGTGTTTCCCTCTCTTCCCTCACCATGCCGCCTTCTTCCCCCTTCCCCACCTTTGCACCTGCTGTGCTCTCTGCCCTGAGTGGCCCCCTTTATCCATTTGCTTCCTGGTGAAAATTCTTACTCTTCCCTCAAGGACCAACTGATATGTCACCTCCTCCTGGAAGCCTTCCCAGCTCTTCCTTTCCTGGCCCAAGTCCCTCATGTGGTTCCTCTAGCTGCCTGCGCTTATTATGGCTCTTGTCATTTGTTACTGTCATTGCTGGTGATTCTGTCTCCCCCATGAGGCTGGAGGAGGGCAGAGCTGGGCATGACTCATCTCTGAGTCCCCAGATCACCCAGCCCAGGGTGGGGCACAGTGACTGTGGGGCAGATAGTGGTGCCACTTATAAGTGGTGTGGGCCTGGGATGCCCGAGACAGTGGCCCAGGGCAGAGAGGGAGTGGGGAGCCCAGCTGAGGGTCTCTCCGGACCCCTCCCCCTTTCCAGAGGTCCAGAGTGCCATGGATGAGAGTCATATCCTGGAGAAGATGGCAGCTGAGGCGGGCAAGAAACGGCCAGGGGTGAAACCCATCAAGGGCCTCACTAAGTGAGCAGGGGAGGGGTTGGGGGTGGCAGTGAGGGCAGAGGGTGGCGGCGATGCTGTGCTGGGACCTGAGAAGGCAGGAGGGGGAGCTTGTGCAGGACGTGGGGCCTCTGTCGTGCCTTACTGCTGGCTCACTGTGTCACCTTGGGCAGGTCACTGCTCCTGCCTGGGCCTCTGTCTCCTTGGTCACCCACTGGGGACAATTCCTGTCCTGTTGTGACCAGGGTCATTGGGAGGAGGCTGTGAGGTTGAAAAGTCAGACTCCAACCCCCTACATACAGCAGGAGCTCACTGAATGCATATGAAGTTGAATGAGAAATCCTCAAATGGCAGAGCTGGCAAGGTATCAGTAATCAGCTAATGAGAGGGGCAAATTGGTTCCGTGGCAAGAGTCCTCTGGGATTGATTGGTAGGGGCTGCCTGGATTAGTAGCGTTCTGGGGCACTCGCTGAACGGAGCAGAAAATAGGACTGTGATCCATTAGCAATGTCTGCCAAGAGCTCAGGATAAGCAGGTGGAGGTGGATGTGCCACATCTTTGTTATCCTGGCTCTCAACTGGTGGTTCTCAACCAGGGGTGATTTTGTCTCCAAGGGACATTTGGCAATGTCTGGAGACATTTCTGGTTGTCACGACTTGCCAGGGAGGGGAGGGAAGGGGAGATGCATCTAGTGCCACTAGGGGGTAGAGGCCAGGGATGCTACTAAACATCCTACAGTGCACAGGACAACCCCCCACAACGAACAATGATCTTGCCCAAAATCTCAACAGTGCCACTGGTGAGAAACTTTAATCTAAGCAAACCTCCCCATTCTGCCAATGGGGAAACTGAGGCCCATGGAAGGGAAAGGAGCTGCCCAACGTCACACATTAAGCCAGATGTCCCAATTCACACATGATGAGTGCTTTCTGTGTACAAACTGGATTATGTCCAGCCTTCTGTTTGTGTCTCATGATGATCCCACAAGGCAGACTTATCCCCATGACATGGGATGAGAAGCTTACCCAGGGCCGCCAGCAAGGTGGTGGAGGAGCAGGCTGAGGGCCTGGGTCTTGCTGTCTGGTTCTCATTGCTGCGCATGCCTGTCCTGTCCCAGCCTGAAGGTGAAGGACGTGAAGCTGCCTGTCATCGCACTGAGCTTCATACCTGGGGTGGGCATCTTCCAGTGTGTGTCCACAGGCATGACCATCACTGGCAAGAGGTGAGTATGGCAGGGGAGGGGACAAGGGAAGGAGAATGGCCTCCTTGTCTCACCCTTACATGCACATGTATTGAGTACCTACTGTATACCACCTGGGTGCTGTGGTCTGAGCTGATGCAAACTTGGGTCCCATCTTTGATGGGAATCAGACCTGAGTGCAGGGGATCACAGACTGAGGGATTGGCCAAGGACAAAAGAAGCATTGGCAGGGTGGTGGTGGGGGTTCAGAAAAGACTTTTGGGAGATGACAGCTGAGTAGGGTTTTGAAGGATGTATAGGAGTCCACTGAAGCAAGAGGGGAGAGGAAATGCTGGTTGTGTGACCTTGGACAGATCCCACCCCCCGTTCTGTCCTGTGGGGTGGTCCCCCATCCTTTCCCTCTCTCAGAGCTGCTGAGATTGTGGGCAAGGAGGAGACAGAGATGCCCATGACACCTGCCCGCCCCCTCCTCCAGCTTCATGGGTGGGAACATGGAGATCATCGTGGTCCTGAATATCACAGCCACCAACCGACTTCTGCAGGATGAGGAGACAGGCCTCCCCACCTTCAAGAGCGAGGGCTGTGAGGTCATCCTGGTCAGTGTGAAGACCAACCTGCCCAGCAAGTAAGGGGCTCTGTGGCTGGGGAGGAGGGCTGGGTCCACGTTGCCACCCACCCAGCATTCCACTTCCTGAGCTACTGCACTTCCTTAACCGTGTCCCGCACGTCCTGTGCCTGACTTCCTGCCATCTGTGCCCCTGTCCCCGTCCTCTGTGTCTAGCATGCTGCCTAAGGTGGTCAACAAGTTCCTGGACAGCACCCTACACAAGGTTCTCCCTGATCTGGTGAGTGCCCGGGGCAAGCTTCCACCCCGTCTGTGGCAGCGCTTAGACCAGGGCCGGTAGGTGCATTTTATCTCGGGTCCTGACCCTGATGCACCGACAGAGGCTGAGGGGGATTCTGAGGCTGTGGCTGGCTCAGTGGGAGAAAGTGCCGTGATCAGCTAGTGATGTCTGCTGTGTGCATGGAGGAGGACATGGCAGGCTGTGTATACCAGAGTGCCAACCCTGCCAAGACCACCAGTCCTTGGGGAACGAGTGCTCACTGGTTTTGTTGGCTGTGGTCAGGAGAGTTGGGTTCTGGTCCAGGCTCCACCAGTGACTTCCCATGTGACTTGTGGCCTCAGTTTCCCGTCCAGTCCCTGTCCCGCCAGGGCTCTGGGGACTCCCCGTGGAGTATGTTCAGCTGCGAGGAGTGAGGTCCTCCGTGCAGGGGCCCCCTCCATCCAGCGCCTTCTCTGCTTCTAGATGTGTCCAGCCATCGATGCAGTCCTGGTGTATGTGAACAGGAAGTGGGCCAACCTGAATGGTGAGTGTAGCCCTGGCCGTGCCTCGCTCCCACACAGGGACATCAGGGCGGCTGGACTTTGATGCCCCATTCCCCATTCAAGTGCCTGTGCCCAGCCCAGCCTTGCGAATAGAGGGTGTCTGACGTCGTGGTGTCTGGCCATCTCCTTACTGTCCAGATGGGAAGCCTGAGGCCCTGAGGGACTCTGGAGTCCTTGCCTCCCAGCCCTCCTTCCAATGTTCTGTCCGTCGCTCCCAGACTCAAAGGACAGCAGCCATTCTGGGCTCATCCACAAACCTTGCCCCTTGAGTAGTATTCCTGAAGGTGGTGATACCTGGCTCCTTCCTTTGCTGGGGGATCACTGCTAAGTAACTCGCCTTGGGTCACACAGAGGGCCAGGTTTCCTGGCACCCAGGCCGGACTCTGGTGGCATCTGCTTGATGCTGACTTCTCCAGGATACCCCTGAGTTGGCGCCTCTCTGAGTGGAAACTTCTCTTTGCACAGCTGCCATGCGTGTGGGCCAGATGGGCACTGTCAAATATGTCCTGACGTCCATCCCAACCGCCACAGCCAACTACATCCAAGTGGACTTCAGCGTAAGCACCAGGGGGCCACCAGGGGGCTGGGGTCTCAGGCTCACCAACCTGAGTGGTGGGGGCTTCTCTGGCCAAGGCAGGTGGCAGGACTGCGGCAATGGAGGGGGGGGGCCCTCAGGTGCCAGGAGACCAGGCCCACCATTGGAATATGCCCTGACACTGGGGTACCCTCGCTCTTCTGCTGTCAACGTGAACCCTGAGTCCTGAGCTGGTTTCCAGGACTGCCAATTCCACTCTCACACCTTCTCCCAAGGCTGTCTGCTTCTCCCAGTGAGGGGCTCCGTCGTACCGCACCATTGCACAGGGGAACAGTGAGGCCCAGCGGGGAGGCAGGGCTGGGTGGGGTCCCATCAGTTGGTGACAGAGTTGGGTCCTCACCTAGGTCTCCAGAACCCCGTGTGACTAAGAGAGATGCATCTTCCAGGAATGGGAAGAAAAATCCCAGGAAGTCATCTCCCTGGAAAGTCTTCCTCTGACGTGGTTCTCGCAGGCCCCCTTATTTTCCACTTACCACTTTCTCCTGAGAATAAAACAGAAAACACTCTCTGCCTAAATGAGAGCTCAACCAGCCAGAGGCAAATCAACTGAGGTTACTTAAGCAATCCTGGGAGGAACCACCAGTGGTTTAGTGGCTGACTCCCTCTGGCCTCTGTCTGCCCATCTGCACCCGGGGAGGGTTGAGCCACGGTAGCCTGAGGGCTCCAGCTCTAACGTCTAAGGACTTGCTGGCTCGGGGCTGCTTTCAGCACCGTTCGTTTGGAGGACTGAGGCTCACCCCAGCCACAGGCCTTCATGGCCAAGGCTGAGTGTCCGTCTCCCGGCTGTCCCACAGCCTGTGGTGCAGCAACAGGAGGGTAACGCCATCCAGCTTGCTGACGCCAGGGAGGTGCTTGAGTTCCCCAAGGACTACGCTACAGGCTCCTCGCAGCTGCTGCTCTCGGCCGCCTTCCTCACAGCAGAGCTTGCCCTTCTGCAGAAGTCCTTTGATGTGACTGTCCGGGATAGGATGGTGAGCTGCCCAGGGTCCCCTTCCCCCCATCTGCATCTTCCCCCTGTAATGACAGTCCTTGTCCCGTGTGTCCATTCTGAGAATTATCCTGGGGTTGTGGGCAACAGTAGGACTGGGAGATCCCAGGATCATCAGTTCCCCCCACCATCCACCATCTCTCTGTCCATGGAACTACCATCTACTCATCCACCCACGCAACTGTCCGTACAACCGGCTATTTATTCATTCAGCCTACAACTCTCATACATCGGCCATTCATCCATCTTCTTTTTTATCTAATCATCATCCACCCACCCATCTGTCTCGCTACCAGATATTTATGCCCTAGACTCTATCTTTCCAGCTAGCATCCATTCATCCCTTCATATCATCCATGCCTAGAACAGGACCTGATACTACTGAGTGAATGAATCTATGCATCTGTCATTTACCATCCAAACATTCATCTCCCCACCCATCTACCCACCCAACTCTCCGTTATCCATCCTACTACGCATGTACTCATCCACTCATCCATCCACCTATCCATCCATCCATCCCCACTGATCCATCCATTCATCCTCCCATCTATGCACCTACCAGCCATCCGTGTACTTTCCCGTTGATCCTCCCACTCACCAATCCATTCATCATCCATTCTCCCATCCATTTATCAGACCATTCCACCATCTCCCCATCCACCCATCCTCCCATCCATCATTCCTTTCATCCCTCCACCCACTGATTCACCTGCCCATCTATTATTCATTCTCTTACATGAACACTCATCCATCCATTCACCCATCCATTCCCTCACTTATCTATTTATCCATTTTCCCCATCTGTCTATCTATCCATGAATCCATCTACCCACCCCCATCTCACCCATCACATCCACCCATTCTCCCATCTATCTGCTCGCTTTTTCATCTAACGACGTTTTCTTAGCATTTGACCTTGTGCTTAGAGCAAGGGGCATTGGAACATGTAAGTCACAGTCTGGGCTACCCAGGACCTCACTAGCTACTTAATCACAGAGTGCTAAGTGTTTTGATGAAGGGGACCTCGGAGGGCACACCTTGTTAAGTCAGAGGTGTTTGTCAGGATGGGCCAAGGAAGGCCTCCGTAATCCTAACCTTGGCTTTTATTTTGTAGATTGGAGAGCTGCCCCCACAAACCACCAAGACACTGGCTGGCTTCATTCCTGAAGTGAGCACCCCACTCCCCGTGTCACCATGCCCTGCCCTGTTCTGCCATCAAGGGACAGGGCTTCAGGAGGCAGCTTTTCAGTGCCACGTCTGCCGTGTCCAATGTGGAGTCATCTGACTTCTCCATAAAGACTCTTCGGGCCCAGCATAGAAACGGCTCAGCTTTTACACTCTCCATGTCCAATATAGAAAGAGACAGATTGTTTTGTTTCTTTTATTTCCCGATAGACACATCCCAGCCTTTGCATGTTGTGCTTCCCGTGTCCAGGGTCAAAATCACCTCCTTCCTGATGGACTCCTGGGTTCAGTGGAAGCCACCAGTCTGAGGCTGGCCCTGAGGGCAGTTTCCTGGTTTCTGTAGGTGGCTGAGGCCTATCCCAAGCCGAAGCCCTTGGTGACCCAGATCAGGATAAACAAGCCTCCCAAGGTCACCATGAAGATGGGCAAGAGCCTGCTGCTCCTCCACGGCACCCTGGAGATGCTCGCTGCTCGGCGGCGGGGCAGGGCTCCCGTGTCCATCTTTCTCTTGGAAGCTGTGAGTGGAATCTGTTCCCCGTTTAGGCCTAATGTCGTGGATAGTCAAGGCTGGAGGGTGGGATTTCTGTTGATAGCCAAGTAACGGAGTGAAGGGTTCTTACTTAATCCCAACTGGATGATCCTAACCTCCCGGGCACTGTCACCTGATGTCTGAGCCTTGGCTCTGCCATTGAACCTTTGAATGGCTAGAAAGATCAACAAAATGGGGGTCAGTAGTTTAGTCCTTTCTTTCTCTCTCTTCCCTCCTCCTTGTCTCTCTTCTTTCCTCCTCCCTCTGACATTTATTAGCATCTATAAGGGCAGAGAAGGGCTCACCTTGGGGACTGTGGGAGCCTACAGAGATTCCAAATCTAGTTTGAGGAAATCTTAGAGGACTTCCCAGAGGAGGTGATGCCTGAGTTATGTTTTGAAGGTTGAGCAGGAGCTGACTAGGGAAAGGGTTGATGCTGGGAAGGCTGGTGATGGAGGGCACTCCAAGCAGAGGTCACAGGATGTGCAAAAGCCTGGAGCAGTAACACAGTATGTGCAGGGACCCACGAACGTGCCAGGTAGTTTTGAGAGGGCTGTCCTGGGCCAGATACAGGGGAGATGTGGAGCCTGGGCTGCAGGTTTGGGGAGACTGCTGGGTTCAGTTCCTGAAGGTAGGACGGGAAGAGAGGAAGACCCTTGTGTCTTGGCAGTGGTGGAGGTGCTGGGAAGGTGGTAAAGCCCTTGGTTTTACCAGCCTTGATGGGGGACCCAGTGCCTTCTCTCTGTTTCTTTCCACGCCAGCACTTCAACCTCAAAGTCCAGTACTCAGTCCGTGAGGACCGGCTGCAGATGGCCACCTCCCTGGACAGGTGGGTGTCTGCCGCCCACGCCGGCATGCTTGTACCCCTGCATGGCCTTACCAATACCACTCAGTCTTCTGCTCCTGGATCTCCCGCTGGTCCATCCAGCATGGCTCACACTGTCAGGCTGCTCTGGTCACTATTGCTATTCTAGAACTCTCAATGGCTCCCCATTGTCTGCATGATCTTTCCTCCTTAGCCTGGCACTCAAGGCCCTTCTCAAATTTTCCCACCGCTGCTCCCACCATTCCTCTAGGCTCTTGCACAGTGAGTCTGATCATGAGCCCATGTCCACTTTTCCATTCATAGGCTTCTGTCCATACCATCCAAATGCCCCTGCCAGTCAGCGCCTGCCTCAAATGCCACCTCCTCCAGGAAGCCTTTCCTTATACTAATAACAGCTGACATTCATAGATCTCTGTCAGTGGGTGAGGTACTGGTTGTACACATTCTATTCATTATCCCACTTCAGCATCCTAGTTTTATATTCAGTTGCTCATTAATTTTTGTATTTGCCTTCATCTTTGATCTAACTCATATTAGGCCAGGATTCTTTCACTTACAAGAAACAGTTCCACCGGTAACTGGCTTGAGCCTCAAAGGGAATCTTTTGGCTCGTAGAATTGAAACTCTAGGGGTGGACTGCTGTCAAGCATGGCTGGATCTAGGTGTGCAAAGTCCTCAAAAATGTGCCTCCCTCCTTCCTTGGCCTGTGCTGTCCACTTTGTTGGCTAAATTGTCAGGCAGCCTCTCCCCAGGTGGTGGTGAAGTGACCCCGACAACAAGAGAGGCCTCTTGTCCGGCAGTACTAACAGAATCACCAAGGCAGGTTCCCTCTGGTCTAGCATGGTCACGTGACCAGCCCCGAGCTAATCCCTGTGACTCCGGAGGTAGGATGCTCTGGTTGGTCAGGCCTGGGTCCCGTGCTCGCCCAGGGGGCTCTGGGTTCAGCCCCACCTGAATGCCTTGGAAAATGGAGGAATGGAACATGGAGGGTCTGTTACTGGAATAGAGAATAACTGTTGGGAAGATAGGGCCACGAGATGACCATCACATGGCCTGTTCTGGTGCCAACATGTATCAGTGCCTTCTGGAGGCTGTGCAGGGGAGGGGGCCGGGTGAGGGGCCCCAATTTTGTGTCCTGTAAGTATCTGGGACTGACTAGTTGGGCCACAAACCTCTGCATACTGGGCCTGGGGCAGGAGCAATAGACATGGCTGAGGGTCCCAGGGGGAAGAGTCAGCACCAATGAGAGGAGGCAGTGGTTTGAGCTGTGGGAAGAAAAATGGGCTGTAATGAAAGGTGGTGAGTGCCCCATCACAGGTAGCATGCAAGCAGAGGCTTATGAGCACCTGGTCTGAAGGCTATAGAGGGGACTTCTGCCTCAGGGAGGGGTAGGAGGGGTTTGAGACCCCCCTTTCTCTAGGCTCAGGACAGTGGCTCTGACTGCCTTCCCTGCTTCTGGTTTCTTTCCCCACGCAGATTGCTGAGCCTGTCCCGGGTGTCCTCATCGATTGGCACCTTCAATGTAAGTGTCCCAAGTGCTTCTGCCTGGTCTGGCTTGAGGGCAAGAGGGGGCCTCCTCTCCCTTGAGACTTCAGGGAAAGGCCTGGAAATTGGGGCAGAATGAACAGAGAAGGTCATTGTGGGGCTTGGGGTTTCTGACTTGCTGTGTGACCTTGGGAAGGTCACTTAGCCTCTCTGGGTCTGTTTCCTTTTCTGGATAGAATCTGAACATCTCCCTGGATTGATTTTTAAAGCAATGCAGGAGGCCGGTCCTGTGGCCGAGTGGTTAAGTTTGTGTGTTCCACTTCAGCTGCCCAGGGTTTCAGCGGTTTGGATCCTGGGCACAGACATGGCATCGCTCATCAGGCCATGCTGAGGCAGCACCCCAAGTAGCAAATCCAGAAGGACCTACAACTAGAATATACAACTATGGACGGGGGGCTTTGGGGAGAAAGAGAAGAAGAAGAAGAAGGAGAAAAAGCTTGGCAACAGATGTTAGCTCAGGCACCGATCTTTAAAACAAAAACAAAAACAGTGCACAGCAGCAGCCTGAGCTGGCTGGGTTGGCCCAGCGGTCATTTTTATCAGTCTCTGTAGCCTAAGGGTCCAACACAGAAACTGACCTTGTAGGTGCTAATAATAACAGCAACATAGCACTTACTGAGCACTTACTCAGTGCTGTGCGCTGTACTCAAACTCATTGAATCCGTGTGAGTAGGTGCTATTATATTCGCTTTCCGGGATGGGGAAACTGAGGTACAGAGAGGCAGTCAATGAATGACTGATTGAAGCTACTGAGTTTTCTGTAGGAACAGGAACGGGGTCCAGAGGCCACTCAGCGTCTCCTGAATTCCTCTGTGCCTGCACACGAGCCGAGGCCCACGTGCCGTTCGAACAAGGACTAGGAGGTGAAGGCCATCGGTCTGTAGTCAGACAGTGTCCGGCCCGGTTTCGATGCTGGGTGGACAGATTGTATGATGTCTCTAATTCACGCCTGTGGTCCCTGGGCCCAGATGGAGTGAAAAAACCTGTTGAACTGAATTGAATGATGGGATGTGGGTGTTTCTTCTCTTTCCCTCTTTCCGCCAGGAGAAGGAACTGACGGGCTTCATCACAGATTATCTCCGAGAAGCCTACATCCCAGTCATCAATGGTGAGGGCTCCAGCAGGCTTTGATTTTGCTGGTGCCAAGAAGCACTCTAAGCAGGATGGGCTACCACCTGGGTGGCCTCAAGCCCCTCCCCTGACCCTGGTGGAGGAGGCTAAAAGGGAGTCAATGGTCATTGCTGAATCGTGGAGGATAATGTAGTCTTAATGTCACCTCCCTGAGTACAAAGGCCCCTCCCACAATTTGAGACTCTTGGCTCCTGCCCCCACACACACACCATGAGTCAGATCTTGACCCAGGCCTGGGATAGAAATACATGATGATGGCTCATACGCTCTATGCCTGTGCAGCTGGCAGACATCACAAGTCAATCACTGCACTATTTCCCACTACTGGGCTCCCGGCAGCTGCTCCTTAATCAATTGCAGAGCAGTCAGGCTGAAATGACCCCTAGTGTGTTTCTCAGATGCGCTCCAAGTCGGCCTCCCGCTTCCGGACATTCTGGACATGAATTACAACCTGGCAGAGCTGGACATAGTAGAGGTGAGGAAGGCAGCTGGGGAAGAACATGTCGGTCAATGCTTTCAGCCAATGAATGATGAGTAAAAGCCTGCCTTTCTCATCCGGGAGGGAGCAGGGCTGAGCAGGGCGGAGGCCATCAGTACAACCTGCCAATCCCTTGAGAAGACCCTGCTGCTCAGAACCCAGGCTCCCCTTGGCCAGGGGCTCCCCAGGGGGAAACTGGAATTCTGTTCCTTTCCTTCCCTGCAAATTAGTTCACCTTTCTCTGCGCCTCTTTTTTCTGTTGCTTAAAATGGGGATGATGATATGGGTGTCCACCCCAGAGAGCTGTGGTGACAATTCACTGAGACAACTCACCTGAAGGCATGCAGTAAGTGCTCAATAAGTATCAGGTTTATATTGCATGCCAGGCATTGCGCTTGGAGCACGAACGGTGCATTTTTCTCACTTGATCTCTCCACTCTGGGAGGTAGGGTGCTTGCCCCCTCTTGACGATCGAGAAAACTGAGGCTCAGAGAGGTGAAGGGTCACCAGGCGAGTCTAGTTCATCCTTTGCTCTTAAACACCATGCTGGTTTCCACTTCCTGGCCACGGCCCGTTCCATGCCATCCTGCACCTGCGTGACCCCTGTCATTGCTCCCCGTACCACCACCTGGCCCTTTGCTTCCTGCCAGAACGCCCTGGTGTTGGACTTGAAGCTGGACTGACCGGGCAGGATTCGCCTGCCCGCTGCCTGCACACCACCAACTGTCTGCGCCCTGTGGAGGAGCCCCGACTGGAGCTGGGGGGCCCGGCCCTCTCCCACTGCAGCTGCTTCCTTTGATAAGGAGTGAGCTGGCCGGCCTGGCTGGGGCCTTGGCAATAAACAGGAGACAGGCCCTTACAAACACCTGATGCTTCGAGCTCTTAATTTGTAGCAAATCGACATGTGGCTTTTCTTCCCTTTTGGTGGGATTTGGGTCTAAGACCAGCTTGGGTCTGAGGGAAGCTGGTCACAGTCTTGGGGGCAGGCTTAAGCACAAATTGAGCACCTGCTGAATGCCCTGCTCAGGGCTTTACTTGCACCATCTCATTTTATCCACACAATAACCCCATGAGGGGAGGGCAAACTTTGCCATCCCTGCTTTACAGATGAGGAAATTGAGGCCCAGGGAGGTCAACTCCCTTGCCCAAGGTCACACAGTTTAGCAGATGGCAGGCACCCCCACCCCGACCTTAACTGCTTGCCCCTAACCTTGGTATCTCAGGGATGCCCCTTTTCACAGGCAGCCTCTAGAAGCTCGGGGCCCTCCCAGGAGTTCTGCCCGAGTCACTCCCTTCAATCCTCACAATAGTTGAGGGAGGTGAGGACTGTCCCCATTTCACAGGTGAGGAGACTGGGGCTCAGAGAAGTGGAACAATAGGCCCCAGGCCACCCGACAAGTCAGGAGGCAGAGCTGGGCTTGGAATTCCGGCTCTGGAGCCAGTCTGCCTGGGTTCAAATCCTGGCTTTGCCTCCTTGCTGCTGTGTGCCCTGGGCAAGTCATTTCACCTCTCTGAGCCTCAGTTTCCACATCTGTAAGATGGGAATGACGACAGTACCAACTCAGCAGAGTTGTCGTGAGGATTAAAGGAATCAAATCATGGAGAGTGCTTGGCACAGCGCTGCGCACCCCGAAAGTGCTCAGTAAATGGAAGCCATGGTGAGTGTCTGAGGCTGAGAGAGAGGTGAGCAGGAGGGTCTGTGCTGGAGTCGGGGCGGGGGTGAAGGCGGTGCAAGATCATGTGTGTTTTCAAGCACGCGTCAGTGTGTACACAGCCCGTGGATCCGGGCAGCCTGGGGAGTCTGTGTGGATGGGAGTGTCCAGTTGTGGAGGGTTGTGTGTGAGGAGACCCGTGGTCCATCCATGTCTGCGTGTGTCTGCGTGTGCCCATGTTCAAGCATGTGCAGTCCGTGCCGAGGGTGTTCCCACGTCTCCAGACGAATTCGTGTGAGGACCGGCTCCTGATGTTTGTGGTATCTGCCCCGTCACCTGTCCTGGGATTGACGCCGCTACGATTCTTTAAATCAACTCCTTTTAAAAGTAAATGTTGTACACCTTAAATTTACACAAGATTATACGACAAATCGATTTCGGTTAAAAATAAATAAATAAAAACAAATGTATGTTAAACATAGTAAAGTTGGAAATACATTTAAAATAAATGTATTCTAAGGGGACCCTGAAAATCAATGTCATTTGCTAGAACGTTAAAAAAAATCATCTCTAACTTTGAAAAAAGAACACGTGCATTGGGGCCTCCCGTGATCAGCTGGTGCTCCAGCCCTGGAAATTGTTGGGGTGGCGGCCATGTGTCCATGTGTCCGTGTGCTGTGCATGGTCTGTCAGAATGTCTTTGTCTCTGTGGGGGTGTGTCTTTGCACGTGGAGGTCTGGGCGGGTCTGGGAGGGTGGTAGTCCGTGTCTGGGCACACACAGGTGTCTGGCATGGTGTGGTGTGTTCAGAGCCTGGTCAGGAGGCCAGTGCTCCCAGAGCCTGTGGGGCCAGCAGGTCGGCCCTGTCCCAGCCTGGCCCAGGTCCAGGCTGCAGAGGAGGGAGCGGGGGAGCAAGGGCCCTCGCTCGCCTTGGCCCGGATGCCAGGGCCGTCTCCTTGACCTTTATCGTCGGCCCTAATCCCATCACCCATCATTTTCCTGGCTCTGGGACAATGGCAGCCTTGAGACAGGCCTGGCAGATAACAGACTCCTGCGTAATCCATGGGTGGCTGATGCCCAACCTAGGCATGCCAGAGACGCCCCCTCCACTCCCCAGTCCCACACTGGGATGTTCCCACAGTACACTCCTGGCCACGTGAAGCCTCAGTGCCACCCCGCTTCCCCCCCAGCTCAGTGCATGGATGGGAGAAACCAAGGCACAAAGCTGTGAGAGTCAGGAGGCCTGGGTTCTTGCCTTGGTGCCACCAGGGGCACACTGTGTGGCCTTGGACAAACCATAGCGCCTCTCTGGCCCTCAGTTTTCCCATCTGGGCAATGGGAGAGGGGTTGGATCCTCTGACCTCTGATCTGATTTCAACATTCTTTGGGTGGTCAATCCCCCTGGATTGACCCTGGGGTCTGGGCCGGCAAGGGGATCCCTGAGCTGTGACCCCACCCCTGGGGAGGCAGTGATGGAGGTTCTGTGCCTGTGGGCACTGCTTTCCTTCCAAGACTCCCAGCCTTTGATGAGGAAGAGGGGGCTCTGAGAGATGAAGACACTGGCCCAAGGACACACGCGTGTGGATATGGGACTTAAACCCTGTCCACCTGAGTCCACGTCTCCTCCTTGCTCCTTCACACCGCACTCAGGAGCAGGATCATCATCCTCCTTTAAAGAAACTGAGGTCCTGAGGGGCGTGTGACTGGCTCAAGGTCACTGAGCAAGAAGAGAGCAGAGCCAGGTCTTCGATCCTGGGCCCACAGCCATCAACGCCCAGGGACCTGCCAGGCAGCCCACCCCCGGGAAGGTGAAGACCCCTCAACATACTCCAGTCACCACCCACCCGGCCTCCTCCCTTCCCAGCCCACTCTCAGCTCAAGCACCTCCGGGAAGGCCTCCTGGGGATCTCGCCATCGTCTGCATTTCTCTGGCACCCCTGGCACCCCTTCCTTGATGCCCTGAATTCCACTTCCAGGATGCCTGTCCTCACAGCCAGACCAGCCAGGTGAGGCTGGGCACCTTTAGTGCCAACCCATTTTGCAGATGGAGAAACTGTGGCTCTGTGAGGTTAGTCAGTGGATAGTAAGAGAGCTGGGATTTGAGCCCAGGAATTCGGGCTCCAGAGCTTTCACTCTAGAGGCTAATGCCCAGGGGTCTCTCTCCTCATCCAGTCCTTCCCCGGCTCGAATCCCTCCCTTGGCCCCCATCAGCCTCACCAGGACTCTCGAAAGGGCTGCAGGTCAGCTTGCCCCCGGACGCTTGTTAAACTCGCCAGTTCCTGGGCCCCCCACCCCTGGCCCGTTGAGTCGTGGTTGCAAGGTGGGGCCTTGAGATACGTATCTGAATTAATCCCTTCTCATGGGTATCCCTGACTTGGCTTGGCTGCATGAGGGGGCTTCCAGGTGCCTGGGGAGCTGGTGGGGTCGGATTCTCCTCTGGGGTGGGGTCTGGAAGCCCCTGGGGAAGATAGGGCAGGTCAGAAACTAGGTAGCATCTTCCTCCCTCCAGTGGGGCTGGCTGGGCAGTGGTTAGGTGATGAGTGTTAAGAGTCAGATGACCCGCTGGACTCTTGTGTGACCCTGAGCCAGCAGCGTCTCCTGTGGCGCCTTGTCCTCAGACGTAAGAAGGGGAGACAATGATGGATGCATCGGTGCCTTGCAAACAGTGAGTGCTCAATAAGTGCTGGTGCTCGCTTTCCCTCCTCCTCCTGCAAACAAACAGTGACGCCCACTGCTGGCGAGGATGCAGTGACCGTTCCCAACGGCGGGTGGGAGTGCCCGGTGGCCGTTCAGAGAGCCCCGGCTGTATCTAGAAAAACTGAACATGTGCTCATACCACCGCGATCCAGCAACCCCACTCCCCACTTGTTGCCCCAGAGAAACGAAAAATGAAGACACATGTCCCCAAAAAGACTTGACGAGAGTGTCCATAGCAGCTTTATTCACAATAGCCAACGACTGGACAGCCCAGGAGCTCTGGACAGGAGGACGGAAAAACTGGTGTGTGCACGTGATGGAGAGGCACACAGCAGAGAACAAAGCATCGCCTCCCATGTGAGGGACTTTCATAGACTCAGAGTCGGGGGAAGACACACACAAGAGTGCACGTGTGCCTTCCGCTTCCAAGAGCCTAACGGCATCCTGGGCACATCCGTCGTATCAGAGGTCAGGACAGTGGTCACCCTTGAGGGGTGGGGACTTGGAGGGGACATGAGGGGGGCTTCTGGAGAGCTCAGTTTGTGAAAATTCATCCAGCTGTACACTTATGATCTGGGCCCTTCTCTGTGTGTGCTTTATATTTCAATAAAAAGTTTATTTTTTAAAAAGTGGCGAACCCCATCCCTTCTCGCCATTTCCCCAGGCCGGTGCTCAGGGCCGCATGCAGGAGACGGACCCACAACACCCAGAAACACGGCTACAGCCCGGCACGGCGCAGACTGTGGGAGAGGAAATCCCAGGGGGCTGTGGGAGCCCCGAGGAGGCACCCCACCCAGTTGGGGGGTCAGGAAGGCTTCCTGGCGGAGGGTGTGTCTGAGCCAGGACCTGCAGGAGAATTGCAAATAAAAATCGAAGTCTGTGAGTCCGTATAGGAACCCGCAGGACCCCGGCACCCCCGCCCCGGCCGGTGCCCCCACTCCCCTCCAACCCTGCACGCAGGCCTCCTGTGCTCCTGGAGCACATCTCCTCAGGGCCTTTGGACCTGCCCTTCCCTCTGCCTGGCGGGTTCTTCCCCAGATGGCCGCCTGGCCACCCCTCTCCTCCTGCAGGTCAAGTCACCCCGCTCCAAGGCGAGGCCTCCCCTGACTACCATACTGAGAACTGCACCCCCCCGCTCCTGCGCCCCTCCCTGCTTGATCTTTGCCGTCAGCCTCTCACTGACTGTGTCACATGCTCCTCTGTCCCCTCCAGGGCCGGCCTGTCCAGTACGACGGCCAATAGCCACTCGAGACAGCTGAGTACTTGAAACGTAGCGAGTCCAAACCTGGCGTCCTGTTGGCGGGGTTCCAGGACTTGGCATGAAAGAGAACGTGGAGTATCCCACAAATAATTTGATATTGATTAAACGTGAATATTTTGGAAATATTGGGTTAAACTACATTATCAAACTTAGTTTCACTTGTTTCCTTTTACCTTTTTAAAACGTTTTAAATTGCGTTGCCTTTCCACTGGTCACCTCCCTGAGGTCGGCGGGTCCGTCTCCGGTTGACACCATCTCCCCAGCACCTGGCAGACAGCGGGCGCTCCACAAATGCCTGCTGAAGAGTGAGTGATGAAGGATGGATGAACGCATTTCTCTCCCCCGTCATCTGCACGGGCCTCAGGAACGGGACAAAGCAGCCTCTCTGGAGCCCAGGGGACACTGGACCCTGGGAGGTGGGGGTGGGGTTGGTGCCCCTCCCCGGAGTCCGCCCGGGGTTCCTCGCTGCAGGCCCCATGGCGGACTCCGTGCCAGGCCTGGCG